GTGGGCATGGGGATGTCATTGTGGGCATGGGGACATTGTTATGGACATGGGGACGTCATCATGGGCACAGGGATGTCATTGTGGGCATGGGGACGTCATTGTGGGCATGGGGATGTCATTATGGGTACAGGGATGGCAATGGGGACACCATCATGGGCATGGGGACATAGTTGTGGGCATGGGGATGGCAATGGGGACACCATCGTGGGCATGGGGACGTCATCGTGGGCACGGGGATGGCAATGGGGACACCATCGTGGACATGGGGACGTCATCATGGGCACAGGGATGTCATTGTGGGCATGGGGACATCGTCGTGGGGATGGAGATGTCCCCAGGGGCTTCGCGATGCCACCATGGGCACAGGGACGTCACCACGGACATAGGGATGAGGACATGGCCATGGGGACAGGGTTGGGGGGAGGGGAGGGGGATGAGGACAGGGACAGGGACAGGGAGGTGCCAAGGAGGTGCCAGGAGGTGCCAGAAGATGATGGGAGGTGGCAGGGAGGGGAAGAGAGGTGACAGAGGGGACAAGAAGATCCCAGAAGGTCCCCAAAGGTCTCAGAAAGTCCCACGAGGTGCCAGCAGGTGACAGAGAGGTGAGGAGAGTTCCGAGAGGTCCCCAAAGGTCCCAGAAGGTCCCCAAAAGTCCCAAGAGGTCCCAGGAGGTCCCCAAAGATCCCAGAAGATCCCAGGAGGTTCCTGGATGTGCCAAGAGGTGCCAGGAGGTGCCAGGGAGGTGACAGAGGTAACAAGAAGGTCCCAAAAAGTCCCAGAAGGTCCCCAAAAGTCCCAAGAGATCCCAAGATGTCCAAGGAGGTCCCAGGAGGTTCCCAAAGCTCCCAGAAGATCCCAGGAGATTCCTGGATGTGCCAAGAGATGCCAGAGAGAAGAGAGGTGACAGGGGTGACAAGAAGGTCCCAGGAGGTCTCAGAAGGTCCCAAAAAGTCCCAAGAGGTCCCAGGAGGTCCCAGAAGGTCCCAGGAGGTCTCAGAAGGTCCCAAAAAGTCCCAAGAGGTCCCAGGAGGTCCCAGAAGGTCCCCAAAGATCCCAG